GGGCGGGGCGGAGACGTGGGCGGGGTGGATCCGAAGAGGCGGAGAAATCGCTCGCCACTTTGCGGAGAATGTGGCAAGAAATTGAATATCTTATGGGTGCGCTTCAATCTTCCGTTCGACAAATCTCTTCGGGAGAACGGATCTTATCGTAACTTCTTTCCTTAATTAAAAAATCCGCGGCGACGCAGCCGCCCTCCGCGTCAAAATTGCTTGGCCTGTCTGTCTCTCGGGGCTTCCTCCGGAGAGCAGCCCGCTCACTACCTGCAGACATGCGTCTGCATGCCGTCACTTGGCACTGCCGACTCGCCTTGGAAACGGCATCGGCGTTTCTCGTGAGCCACATGCGCTGAGGAAATCTGAAGATTTTCGTCACGCGGCACACGAGAGCAGAGGCTGTGGCAATGCGAGTATCTAGTTTAAGGTAATACTTTCTTTTGAAAATGTGATTTCATCTGTGTCGATGGAGGAAAATAAAGTAGAATGATGGTTGGAACAAGAAATGCGCTTCGCGTAAACACAAGGGGCTGTCACACTTTCACTTCTGTTGTTGACATTGAAAGTCAACTCGACGCATGTTGATATCCTTGCACCTTGTTCTACCTATTCCGACACTAGTTTATCTACAGTCTTCCTATGGAATGCATAGGAAATTCTAAAGGGCGCATAATTTGTAATACTGTCTAATGATACTTAAATAATTTATAGTAGGTAGCACATTATTTTAATTAGATGAAAATGAAACACATCATTCCAACATATTCTAAAAGCCAATGCATTACGTCTCACAGCAAGCTCTTTAAAATAAAGTATTATATTTTTATTCCCCACACTCCAACTACTGACGTTGAAATTTATTATGGTTACATATACCTCTAATCATCTCACCTTAAACAAAGAAAAAGAAAATTATGTTAGTTACTGCTTTATAACAAATTATATTTGTTACAATTTTTTGGAAACTTAAAAATTAAATAAATGAAATAATTACAATATTTGTTAGTTAAATTTAAAAATATTAAATAACATTTCTATTTTATATTATGATAATATTGAGGGTTCTAAAGCTACACGTTAGAACAATCTATGAATAATCTACTCTTGCAACTGAATGGACGTAATTGCTCACAACGTCGTCCACGAGTGAAGAGTAAGCCAGAATAGGTAGGACTTTAAATAAGTGAATTCATAAAGGGAGGACGTGTATTTCAAACATGAAACTCTTTTCAGGTTTTAAGTGTTACTAAAGCAAATTTATATATAATTGTAGATGACGCATTTTGAAAAGAATACACCTGGACTTTACTTGCAAAATGGAAATTCATAAAAGAATATCAGAAAGACTAAATGATTGAATCAATGAATGATAACTAGCTGATTGACTGAATGAATGATTGAAGGATGACTGGCCAACTAACGAATGAATGCTGTCTGGCTGACTGAACGAATGGATAGTGACTAAACAAATGGATGATAACTAAACGAATTATGACTGCCTGGCTGATGACAGCCAGGCTGCTGACTACTTGGTTGACTGAGGACTGCCTGGCTAATTGGTGAGTGACTGCCTGGCTGACAGGTAATTGTGTGTCTGATTGACGAATGATTGGCTGTCTGGCGAGTACTTGGCTGCTTGGAGACTGCGTGGCTGCTTGGCGATTGCCTGGTGACTGCCTGGCTGACTGGTGACTGCAGCAAAGCAGAAAAGTAGTGATAATTGTCATTTATTAATTTTTTAGGACAGAGAAAAATAGTTTGTGTATAACCAAACATTTTTCAGTTTGCGTGTAGACTTTCCAGCGTTTGCCACACACACACACACACACACACACACACACATATATATATATATGGGTTTCAAAAATATGGGGCATAATTTTAGGAGTGTATTCCCAAAATGTAAAAAAGGTTAATTGCAGCATGTGACTGGAAATGCTTTATTTCAGAATTATGGCCTTCACAATGCTGAAATTCACCGGAACGTTTTTATTTCCGTAGGTCGTTGTCATTACAGAAGATGTTCAAATTGTCCACCTTCTTAAATACAGACCTCGCACCGAGAATCATTGACCTGCGAAGATGATTCCAAACTCCAGAAGTATCGCGTATGTCCTCGCAAGATGACACAATTATATTCCAAAGCGATTCCAAATTAGACACTGGAGACGATGATACCAATGATTTGAAATGGCCTTACAAGAAGAAATCGGGAGAATTCAGGTGGGCGTGGAGGCCAATCAATTAGGCGACCTCTATCTATCCATCGAAAACTAGGGTTTGTAAAGCAGGCGACGATAAATGAATATATGAGCTGTAAGAGTTGTTTTTTAACGACACATTCGTTCTGCGATTTTACCAGCTCCACTTTGCGAAGTTTCCGAAATAAAATTTTACAAATTTTAATTTCAAGAAAGATATTCAGAGGTGTGAATCTTGAGGTTAAAAAATTGAGAATGATTTTTTTGCAATTTATGAACAATAAACAATGGTACAGGATGATACATATAATGATACAGGATGCATGGAAATATTTAATGCGGCGCGGCGGATTCCCCTCGCAATTTATCCTTTCGTACTACCAAATACAAACTAAAATCTAACCCACAGTTATAACGAAGATTGAATCAGCCATACAACCAAAGGCTTTCACGCCTATCACCCTCAGACAGACTCTGCGCATCTTATCTGTTCAATTCGATACAAATCAGTCAATACTGTCAATTAATTTGATGATATTAATGTAGAATTATAAAACTCTCAAGTGACCTTAGTTAAACGATTGTTACTCACCGGGCCAGCCTCTTCAGTGTATCTGGAATGAAGCAATAAAGTGTACATATCAATCTCGTCTTAAAAAAGGGTACACAAGAGATAAAAGAAGACGATTAACAAGACGATAAATGTTTAGTGATTGGGTTGTTCCAATACACTGTTTCAACTTCTGATCATATCGCCGACACTAATTATTCTTAAACAGAGAATCCTTATATAACCATTACATTAAAAATTGACAAAGATTCCAAATACTACCCTACCCTACTGAAAAAAGAGCCACTCTAATGTGCGCTAAATTTTAATGATTTTGAAATAAGAATAACGTTTGAAAATTTTGTTGAAATTTCATTAATATATAAATTAAACCTTTGTCTACAAAGTCCCATACACCTACAGGTGTCTCTTAAGGGTTATACTTACAAAAAAATGTCTTTTATTAAATTTATGGCCTATGGTCCCGTAAACAACCCTTGTTTAGATTTCTTATAAGATACTTTCTTGTTACAAAGTAGTGGAAGCAGTTGTTATCATCTGGAAGTGTTTTTTTAATCTAATTCTTCAATCCAAGCTTAATGTGAAGAGAAGATGCTAGTACTTTGCTTGGTTGAACACTTTTTGAAACAGGAAGGAGCATTTTTCTTTTGAGCCAATCAGATGTCTTCGAATGCTTGTCTTTCATTGGACTGACCCATTCACAAATGAAATATGGGATATTTTGTAGCCTTTTTGTTGACCAAGTAATAGTAATTAAGGGTATGTTCAAATTATTAGACTTGATATACCGTTTTAAAATAATTTTATTTATCAAGCAACAATTTCTATAAGTACCAATATCAAATTAGTCATAATGAGCTGTCTTGCACATTTACAATGATTAAACCGTAAATTAAATTCATAAATTAAAGAGATTTAATTTAAATAGGTGTAATATACCATAGTGCATAATAATTTGTTTTTCTTTAACAATTACAAAAAATAGTGTTTAGTATGGAATCCTTTATTTTTTTATCAAATAGTTCAGCCTTTGTGGCGCACTCTCCATAGGATTCATGCACTTGAGCTTCAAATCGACTCTAGTGTGATATAATGAATTTATTTTCTCAATTAACTACGCTAATATCTCTTTGGCAGTGAATTGCAGAAGGTTGTTCCAATGAGGATAGTTTCGCAGTGCGCTTGCGTGAATGAAAATTAACTCTTGCTGAGATTAGAATTCGCTTAATGCCGTAATTCTCCAACGGCGAACGTATTTTTCATAATAATAACAAATTAAAAAGAACATAAAATAAAAATATATTAGACATATTTACATCAAAATCTCGCGCATCTTGAATCCGTTGCCCCAGAACGGCACTAGTGGAGGTGGCTAGATAGAGCCAAGGAAAGACATCAGCTCACACGGTGCTGCCATCTGTCGGCGGAAACTGGCGTGTGAGACCGCCGGCGGACGCCGAGGAGTTTTCAGCGAGAGACAAGAGAAGTCTGTTCGCGTGTTTTAATTAAATTTGTCATGCATAATTTTTCCCCGCCTTCCTCACGTCCCTCAAGATTTCTATTCTTTCGTGAATAAGGGAAGAAACTTTTTCCGTCGTTACTTCCGGTTGTCCCTGTGCTCTTCTCGCACCTTCCGGCAAACTTCTTCGGAGGAGAGCGTCTTTCCCTCGCTCGTCTATTATGCGGCATTTCCATTGCGAAACCTTCCCCCTCCTCCTTCAGTGGTAGAGGCTTGGCTCCCCACCTCCTTGTGCTGTCAGGCCCGATTTGCGATCGCTTCGAGAGTATGTGGAGTCGCATGAGGCGGAGTGAAAGAAGTTTTTGAAACGTCTAAAAATGTAAGTTTTTTTATTTGGAGCCGACCTACGTAGCGCAGACGGCCGTGCCGACTATTGTTCTGCCTGCAGCGAAAGCATGTGGGTACGATTCTCGCATTCTCCTCAATATATTTTTCAATCATTCATTTAATGTACAAATTCAAACACTACGTTCCTGATGAAAATGAAGAAAGAAAGAGGTATTTGCTCTCGTATGTGACGTAAAAGCAGTGTCAACATTTGACCCAGGAATCAAGAGAAGTTGGGGGGAAATAATCGAAAAAGGGGGAAGGCCACAAACTTATAAATGTTAAACAACGTTTATCTTGAGCATTAAACGATTCAATAATGCGTTTTATAATAAGTATAATGTTAACTATTATATCATTATTTTTGCGTATTGGGCGTGGAATGTAATGATCAACCACCATCCACACAATTAACACTATCATTATTCGTTAACTCAGAGTTAATGTGGTGCGAGGCTTCGATCCAGCCAACAGGTTGCAAACATTAAACGCTATCGGTCTTAAAAATAACCTCGAAAATTCGCAATCGTGAATTGCAAACAAAAAATCAACCAATATTACACAAATATCTCTCATCTTACACACGGAAGTACTTTTCGATATTTTATTTTGTGGTCATTATAATAGAATCAAAAAACTTAATTCCCCTTGAAAAAATAAATATAGATCCCAACATCTGCCGGTCCGGAAGGCCGAAATCGCTAGGGCAGTAGTGCCGTAGCGATCTCGGACCGAAGTATCGCGGGTTCGAGTCCCGCCTCGGGCTTGGGTGTATTGTCTTTGTCCTTTCCTATCATCATTACATCGTGCCATCGTCATAGTTACCATACCGTTACACGCAATAGTGGTCGCTAATGATCTAGTAGTTGATGCGACCATAAAAAACAAAGAAAAAAAAACAAGATCCCAACATCAAAAAAATTAACAGGAATTAAAAAACATTTGTATATAAAACATGTTTATACAAGAACACAAACTTTAAAAACATTGCCTTACAGTATATTTTAATCGTTCTATTACACTAAAAGCGCGTATAAAAATATTAAACATTATGTACATTTAATATATGTAGTGTTTTACTCTAACAAAAATACCAAAGTTCTGCAATTATAGCGCAATTATCTTTACAGCCATTTCAATACTCAAAATTATATCCGAAATAATTGCATCGTTAATACCTTTATAAATCTTTTCTTTGTAAGTCGTGCCTTCATGGTTTGTTGAAGATGGCGTCTTCTTCAATAAAGTGTACTGATTTTGTTCCCAATATACCATTGTTTTATAGCAAACTCAGAACTAGCGCCTCGGAAACAAACCAAAAGGAAAATGACAAAAAGCACGCTTAAATTACACGTTAAAACGACGGGAGTACTTTTATCGAACGGCAAAAACAAAATTGCCGCCACGCTCAGGCAATTGCCCAGGATTCAGTCATCGCTCTAATCTGAAAATATAACCGAGTTCATGTTCATTATGTGCTTTATCTCTGTAAGCTTCTGTCTACTCCATCGTTCTTCCACGCAAAGCTGCGTATCTCAGTCGGCGCCTGCTATCACCGACAGCTGGCGAGTGCATGCTACGGTCAGGGCCGAGCCTCCGGGCAGCTGCAAAAACCGAAGAATTTCTCGCGAGCAGCGTCACGTGTGCAGTGACGACGAATACCCCCCGTAGCTCGTTTCCTGGAAAATGAGAGAGACTCGAATGTGTGCTCTGCATATGAGTACGTAATTTGTTGTCTATTCATTACGAAAGTTTTGTAAGGAAAACAAATGTTTTTAATTTCGTAAATAAACTCTTCAATAACGGGTTTTACTGACAGCAAATATGTGTCACACAGATTAAAATATAGACTTGCAAGTGAATATTATAAATATCACTATCGGGTTAAGCATACAGTTTTTGTAACCATCTTCTCCTGGAAATTGAATGCTGAAATTTTTGTAGAAAGTATAATTTAATAATATTCAACTGAATGTATTTAATCAAATCTAAGTTTCTTCAAAGGCTAAATTATGAAAGCAATGTAACTAACGGACCTTCAGCCCAATATATTTTTCATTCAATTAATTTAATGTACAAATTAAAACAACACATTACTGTAGGAAAGGAAGAAAGAATGTGGCATTTACTCTCGTAATGCGAAGTAAAAACTCGTGTCAACATTTGACCTAGGAAGGCATACTATCCCTGAGGAAGACCACGACAAGATGGTCGAAACGTCGACAACACCAGCCTTGGACGCGGCGTCACCCGGACAGCCCGCACATTGGTGATTTATATTATTTTCAACGTTACCTATTCATATAATATTATGTCTTTTTTGAACCATACAAGATAATGTTTGTGATTAGATCATGACCCAGAATGATGCAGGATCTACAAATTATTTAGAATAAACATCAGTCATTAAAACCAATAATAAATTTTTGATGTAGTTAAATGTGATATTTAATAAAAGCATTCATAGCAAATTGGAAAAGATAAGGACGCAAATCTAACTGTTGAAATTGCTTCAGTGACCACCAAAATGTTTCGCAGTTTGATTTATTTCAAATATCTTTAGAATCATAACATTAAGACATTTCTTTATTAAAATTTTCTCTAACTATAATCACAGTTTCCAACATAACTACAAAAATATACAGGATTTGGAAACATGATTCAAATATGAGTCAAAAATACAATTGTAATACAATACAACAAATACAGTTGGTATTATACACGCACGTTTTCTTGAGCGCCGGAATACTCACCTTTACCGCACTCCTTTACTAATTAACTAGTTCCCCAGCACGTCACACATAGTTTTTAACTGTTTTCGATAAAAAATAAATAATTGTTAAAAATACTATGTTACTAGTGTTAGTTATACCATTTATAACTCAAGAACGGCTGAACCACTCTTAATTATCTATGATTTTTTGGATTGCTCCGCCCGGGATAGTAAAATAACTTTTAAAATATCGGAAAAGTCACAAAAAACAAGATAAAAACTACATATTCATGCAGACAGAGGCAGATAGATAGATAGAGATAGAGAGAGAGAGAGAGATACAGAGCGAGACAGACAGAGCGAGAGACAGAGAGAGCGAGAGGGACAGAGAGGGCGAGAATGAGGGAGAGTGAGAAAGGGCGAGTGAGAGAGGAAGGGACGGGAAGAGAGGAGGAGAGACAGAGAGAGGGAGGGACGGAGAGA